ATTTCTACTTTTCTATATTTTCTACTTTATTATTAATACATTTTAATTTTATTATTGGGAAAAATAAATATTGTGGTAAAAAATAATTTTCAAAAATAAATTCCTTTTTCCTTGCTGTATTAGAGGTCACTTTCCTTTCATGTATTCCACTCCCATCTCCAAGGAAATATTCTCTGCTACCCCTGACCCTTGTTTCAGATGTCTGCTTATTTCAGGTCTGTTATAGGCTGTTGGACTTTTTATAGTTAGGCAGCAGCAATAGACACCTGGGGAAAGCACAACGTTAATGGAAATAGGAAACTTAATGGACAAAAATGATTAAAAGGAAAAAAGCCCCGTTGGGAGAAGAAAGTGCTCTGGTCCAGGTCATCTCAGTTAAGAAATACTTGTCCAGGGCTTCCCTGGTGGCGCAGTGGTTGAGAGTCCGCCTGCCGATGCAGGGGACACGGGTTTGTGCCCCGGTCTGGGAAGATCCCATGTGCCGCGGAGCGGCTGGGCCCGTGAGCCATGGCCGCTGAGCCTGCGCGTCCGGAGCCTGTGCTCCGCAACGGGAGAGGCCACAACAGTGAGAGGCCCGCGGACTGCCAAAAAAAAAAAAAAAAAAAAAAAGAAGAGAAATACTTGTCCAGTTTTCAAACTTTAACTTTCCCCAACTGGTTAGAGTGTGTGTGTGTGTGTGTGTGTGTGTGTTTACTTTTACTTTTGGGGGGAACAGAGAATAAAAGCAATAAATCATGGAAATTATTACATAACTAAAATCAAATCACAGAAATGTTATTCAATTAAAAATAAATGTAGCAAGATTATACTTTGGCTAAGGACTTTCCTGAAATTTTCATATAACAAAGGAAAATAACTCAGTGATTATAATACGATAAACACTTATACTCTTGAGCTAATATTATTTGTTAAACAGAAGGCTGTTCTTTAAACGAGAATTTGCTTTGTATTAATGACTATTGGTGGTGACTTAAAAAATAATAGAAAATGACAAGAAAGAAGGTTATTTACCAAAGAAATATGACAACAGCTTCTGAAGACCATCTCCGTTTAACTCCTTACCTCCTCTCACCAAATCAAACAAACAAAAAAATCCCTAAAACCAGAAAATTGAACCATAATGTTAGAGAAAGGGTAAATAAGTAACATTTCATGTATGAAGTACCTGGATGTGGTTTATATAGAAAAATTTTTGAGCAAGCTTGGTCCTGAGAGATGACATAGCCCAGTGATGTGCAATTCAGAACGTGCAGTGGAATCCCCGGGGAAACTTATACCTGATACCCTCCTCTCAAAGAGTCTGATTTCTGTAACCTGGGTTTAAATCCTTGGAGTTGGGAAGTTTCAAAAACCTCCAATGTTCAAATGCTTCCATGTTGTTATGGATAAGAACCACTGCATGGGGCCAAGCTCTTCCTTTTACAAATGAGAAAATAGTGGATGGAGATCTTCATAGTTCACAATGCTGATCAATGGCAGAGCCCAGTGCTAGATCTCAAATTCATTTTTCTTCCCACTTAACACTCTTCACCCTCCTGGGGCCCAGGAGAGGGTCTTATTTATTTTCTATATCCTTGTCAACATTTAATGGCACTGGCCCATGGTAGGTGTTCAGTAAATATTAATTGAATAAAGTCATATCTCTTGTCTAATTGCTGATATTGGCCATGTGGGAAAAACCTGTCAATGGAAGATGGGTATTAAAAATACCGTGAGTTCTGCAGAGTTTGAGCATTGAGAACTTTTCTCACTGTGTTTTTAAACTCAACAGTCTGTCCCCACATAATCCTGGAACCTGCAGTGACTTCTGCCAGTTTCCATGGTACCAGCTGGTTACAGAGATTTTAGGGCAGGTTGGGGGGTGCCTGGGGTATATCTGGGGTGGGGTAGGAGGAGACTGCAGAAATCTTATACCTGAGCCACACTCAAAAGGAAGGAAAAAAAACCCATTACCAGATTTTACTAGGATTAACAACAGGCTTTAAAAGGTTGGAATGTGGGAATGGTATGGAGTTTTCCCTGGACCTGGGTACAGATCCACATATAAAGTACTAATTGATGAGTAGGAGCAACGACATGGTTTGCAGGACAATGGCATCCATAACGAGGAGCTCACACAGAGGGGGTGTCTACTTCGTATGACTGACAATCCAGGTTTTCTCTTAAGAGTACTTGTCAGGAGCACTTAGGAATTGTATTACCTCTCAAACTTCATGGGCCTGGACCCCTCCTCAGAAACTTAAATTCTGTAGAAAGAGTGGGGATTCTGATGCATCTGCTTAATTTAAAGGGACTGAGAATAATCTTAGTCTCTCACCCTTAAGGCTAATGTCCACATAGAGCTCCACATAGAGCTGCAACCCTTTGTTTACAAGCCTGTCTCTTTAATACGTAAATTGCTTACGGAGAGGTTACAACTAAGGCTTTATCAATTATTGATATTTTCAGATAACAGGTGAATGAGCTTCATCACTTGCTTTCCTAAGAAGTAGCTTTGGTAATAGTCATTACAGAAACAATAATGGATTTCTGGCTGTCCTCTCTTCCAACTTGTGAAAAACACAACTGCCTTAAGCTTTCACGATGATTTACAGTTGGTGATTTTATCCCTTAGTCACTTATTGTGGCATGTCCCCTTTCTATGGATGGGGAAAGTGAAGTAACGTCTCCTGACATTCTCTTGTATCACCACCCTTGACGAGGAGAAGCATAGTTGGAGAGAAATAGGGCATTCCAGTGAGTGGAGCCACTCAAATAGTTGACAGGTGGTGGTGCAGAGGCACCACAGCTCTTTTCCAGTAACACATGGTGAGTCAGATCCTATCCCGAGCCAGCTCTTCTTCCAAGCATGGCAATCTTGAAATAAATGATTAAAAAACCAAAAAAACAAGGATTTATCTTATATTAAAAAAAACACAATTTATTGAAAAAGAGTAACACTTTACACAAATTCCCATTACAGAACCCGAAAATACCTATTTGTCTGTTTCCAGGTATGGTAGCAGAGTACAAAAATATCAAAATTGGATAAATTTTGGTGTAACCATTCTGTTGGCCATTTTGGACTATAGATTTCAGAGTTTAGCAACTAGTAACCACATGTATTTATACTTGCCCATCATTAGGATCTACGTAGGTAGCAGAAGTTCTTTGAATTATACATTCTAGGAGCACAGACTTTCAGGTTTGGAAGACACACTTAAATTTACTAGGTTCAAATCATAGGATGCAGTCCTTTGGATAATTTCCCCTATACGGTTTCACTATGAGTTACTTCCCAAACTACCTATCCTAGCAGTGTTAGCTGCCAGCTAATAGCAATACCTCTGATAACATTGCATAACAGATATCCACCTTGTATACCCTTGCAAGTTACTAAAAGTAAAAAAATCTTCCATTCTTTGGTTTGCCAACATGTACACTTCTGTTTCACCCATTACATCTGCAAACTTGTCCTACCTAGGTCAAGCCCGCATTCCTGAAAGGAGAAAAGCTTAGCCACAAAAAGCATCAGGCCATAGTGACTGAAGAAAACTAAGACTGCCCCAGAATCCTTTTCACTTAGTAATCTGAAATTCACTTTAGTGTCTCATCACTCGAGAGGTTGGTTAAAGCAAGAAACCTATTGCTTACAATTTGTCTCTTTTCAGTCATTTGAAAAGTAAGCCAAAACCTATGCACTTAAATTCCTTAATTCTTTCCCCTAGTATAATACTTTTTACCTCACAAAATCACACTTACATGTATCCCATCTCACTGGATCCCCACAACAGCCCTGAGAGGTAGGCAGGTCAGGAAGTACAATCCTCATTTTATAAGTGAAGCAGGAAATCTAGGGCAACCAAGTGCCCTGCCCAAACTCACACTGTAATTGAGAGCACCAAGACTCACATCAGGTCTCCAGACACCGAAGTCAACACCCTTCCCATTACATCATCTTGCTCGAGTGAAGGAGCATTTTGCACAGACTAGAAAACTAAGGGCAATTGTTAAAACGGAACAGAGCACCAACAGCATGGTGGCCACCGCTGAAAGAAAGGAAACGGGTCTGTGGAGAAAGGAAGGTGCCGAACGATGGGATGCCTGCGTGTAGGTTTGGTTCAATGACTTCTTAACAGACAATTTAGCAAACAGAGACACTACTTAGGCATATTTCATGTTCAAAAAATGAGCATAATATCAACTAATTAATACTTACACTGCTCTAGCAGCTGGTTAAGTATCATTATCTCAATTTAACAGATGGGAAAAGAAGAGAAAGATTAAGTGACTTGCTTACAGTTACAGAGAGAATATTTGTCATCAGGCTGTCACTACAGAAAGTCTAGCACTTCATTCAGACAAAAAGGTCATCCCTCTCTGGGACGAGGTAAACTATACGAGAAAACAATACAGTTTGAGGAAGGGGACAAGAAAAAGGTAGTTTGGGAGGATATACAACTGTGAATAAGTAGGTCAAAAAATTCAATCAATAGAATTGTGTCACAACACTTGGGAAAGCAGCACACAGCCCCTCAGTGGGACAAATATTTTCAAAGCAAACAAGTGTGTTACAGGTCAGAGTACAGGGAGCATATGGGAAGGTCAACAGGAATATACCATCCGGTCACACAGAAAGATCTGCTCCCAAAACTCTGGTCTGTACGAGATTCTTATTGACTTTAGGAATTAAACTGTAGGCATATAAATGTGTTATCAGAATCGAGAGTTAAGCCCAATCTCACAAAAAACAAAGTCATAAAGAATGACTGAATGGTGACAGAGCAAGCGCTATAAGATCATAGTAAAAAAAAATATGATACAAACATATGAAAAGGGCACATGTGAAGAACTGAAATAATTCATACTTGGTAAAGTAGGTCAGGTCTTCTGTGAAAGACATTAAAAGCTGATGAAGGAGGGTAAATGATATTTGACCTATTATATATGTATACATAAAGAAAGAAGAGAAGAATACCAAATAAACTACTTATTTAATCAATATAAATATGTTTTTCTGTTTTTAAGATATATTTTAAGAATGCTGGTGCCAACATAATGAGGTTTTACTACCTAACTTTTTTATAGAAAAACATGTACATGTACATATCTATATATATTTAAGGAATGCCCTCTCCCCACATTTGAGATGATGACCCAGTGGGAAGCAGTAATACAAATAGAAAAGGCTTCCCTCTTATATTGAGGAAAGGAGATAAAATAAGACTATGTCATTTTTAGCAATGGGTATTTAACAAAATATGTTCTTTTGGTAATACCACAGTTCAGACTACAATAGTCAAAATCTAAGATCTTAATGCCAATACAGTATTTCAATGTTCATTTTCTGATTGTTCCAACAGGGTGGTCTCCTTTTGCTTCTGTGTCACACGTAGTCTTTCCCACTGGAAGGTGCAGGTTTTGGATAGGGCCTTGGTGTTGGGTACGATGTTGTTTTCCAGGTACAGGAGCAGCAAAGTAGGGCGCCTCCCAGAAGGCAGAGGGAAGCAGCAGCCCAGCCAGTGAAGAGAGCCTGACCAAATTCATACCTAAAAAGAAGAGACAACGTATTTGCTTAATCAGTGAATCACTGTAAACTTCTCTAATATAATTAAAGAATGAAATCAATATCACACTCATTATATTTTTTCCACTGAAAAAAAATCCCCCATGATCCCTTTAAGTTCTGCAAAGTAATTTAAGGTTTGTGGACACACACACGAGAATGTTCACATTGCAGCTGTTGACAATTTGCAATAGCAGATCAGGCAGTGTGGCATGCAACACCATGTTAATTATACAAATAGTTCCAAAGACTTTTTCATGTGTAGGAGACTTGTAAAGCATGTTTATATATACCTTGGAAGTCAGGTTTGGACAATGGTTCCTAGGCTAAAACTTAACAGGTCATGCTATCACCAAGTAGCAACCAAATTCTACAAAGGAACTGCTAGAGGGTGTTGGAGACTATTAGAGTTTTCAATAGGCAATCACTGATAAACACTGAAATCTGAAATTTATGGTTTTGCGAAAAAGACTTCTAAGCAGCTCATAGATCATTCTAGGTTAAGTTGATCCAGGTGGATGTATGAAGCCATACTTCTGAGAAGATCTGTGACTGATGGTGGACAATAAGGAGAGAGAAGGGCTGGATCTAGAGTTATAAGGCCTGAGTTTGAATTCTGATGCAAACTCTCAACTGCTGAATTGTGGGCCAGTAACTCCTCTTCTCAACCTCAGCTGCTGCTTCTCTTATAGCAGGATGATTCCATCTGCCTCACTGGACTGCTTTCAGGATCATGTGAGACAATGCAAATAAGCGTACAGTGCCTAGCAATTTATAAAGTGCTTTCATATCCATTACTGGTAAAATTTTAGCCTACTGACCTCCAGCAGATTCTGTCCTTACAGTGTAGATCTTATGGGATGGGTCCCAACACAATCACTGCAGTATGTGTTTTCCTCTGTGTGGGTGATTTTATACAAAGAAGCATACCTTATCTCTCCACCACTGGGATTTTTCATCCATTCGTCTTAGCACTCAGCAAACAATAATTACATCTTAACATTCTGACTCAGAATATAGTTATTCGGCTTTAAAGATGTGAACATAGTGAGACAAACAGCCGTGTCTCTGATCAAAGGGTGTCATTATGTGAGAGCCAAGAGTCAGCTCTTTAACTTCCACAACTTGCAATATTAAGGATGACCTTTCTAAAGTTATTTTTATGGCTGTGATGGAACACAAAATTTCAAAGTGCTAACTTTTCTTTTTCATAAATAAATTGTTTTTTCATAAACAGGATTAAACCATTAGAAATGACATATTATTTGTTAACCTCTACAACAGTACTATTTTTTCAATCAATCATAAACTGTGTTTAGTTACAAATAATCACAAGTGTTAAAAGTTTCAGAATACACTTCAAAAATAAAATTTCAAATATGTTGGTATCTTTATTAATCTTAAAAACATTTTTTAAATATGAAAAAAGGTCCAGCATACACTTAGTAAGTATACAGCTTAGAACTTTTCTACTTTGAAATTCATTTTGTTATCAATACAGGCTGTTAAAGCAATTATCAGACTATTTTTAACATGAGTCACAGGCCATTCAAATTATTTTCAAGTTTGACAGAAGTTCCATAAAATTCTGGATAGCAAATCTGGGAAGCTACGGCACAAGCTGGACTTTGCAGAACATTAAAAGGGTATTTTCTCAGAGAACAAACTATTTTAGGAGTGAACAGCATTACCTGGCATTGACCGGGGTCATGGGGTCATAGAATTCTTGAACAATTCTATTGCCATACCATGCTGTGGCAACTAAAATAGCCAGACCTACAGAAATTCAAAACAAAAGACTGTTAATCACTATGGAACACTGAGCATAAATATACGGCTCATTAAATTTACAAGTATTTTACAAGAATTAAATCTCATCAATAGTGCTGACATTTTCAATTTAATCCATTTTAATTCAGACGACTTTAATTTAGGGAGATTAGAGGTTCAGACATGATTTATTCTAAGTATTCCCTTAAGACAGATGAAAATATTAGGTGGGAGTTAGGCATAGTTTATAATGTTCATGTCATTTTATTCACTTAGAGTTGAAGGTCACTGACACAAACAACATTCTGTTGGAAATATTCAGCAGGTTCATGTCATTTAAGATCTCTTTCAAATATATTGTTATACATCACTGTTAGACTACTTTTGGTGAAACCAAAGTCCTTATTAGTAAAACCAGTCACTTACAATACAAAAGGGAAGATGAAAACCCTTCTACATTCTTCTTGACCAAAACTCAAAATTCACATTTCTGAAGAATCAAAATGAAAGTAAATAGCTAGATAGCAGGAACGAGTGGGACCTGTCTCAGAGTGCACTAGATCACCTAAATTCCTACAGCCTCACTGGCCAGATGTGCCAGGTCTTGCCATGAGATTCGCTGAAGTGCCACATCAGATCAATATGTGCTGAACACTCAATTTCTCATGCCTTTCACATTTCAGTAAGGCCAGAGAAACTACTTAGTCAAAATAACCCACTCTATCATTCATAAGAAGTATACAACACCTTGATTTTTCTTATCCAAAGAAATAAAATAACTTCTTTTTATAGCCATTCTAAAAATTCATCAATTTAGACAGATTAAATATTTATATGCTACCCCCTCTGCTCCCTTCCTCCTACAAAAAAAGTGGTCCAACCTAATTGCCTCTAATACTTGAGAGAAAACACCATTGCTTTGGCTGCTCAAGCAGACCATGCAAGTGCTGTGGAACTTGCAAGCCTCACTCCCTAGGAAGTCCCTGAGACTGGGGAAGTGATGTACCGGAGTTACAAGAAGGCAAGCGGAGGAAGGGTCCTACACAGTAAGTGCATTCACAGCCTTTGATGTAAAATCAAACTATTGGGAATAAAATGCTATCCATTTTAAACTTTAAATGGATATTAAATAATCCAATTAAATAAACTTTAACCAAACCATTAGCAAAGCCACAGGCATTCTTCCTTCATTATTGATGAAATCCACTTACTTTTGTTAAAGAGAAAATGAGAAAAAAGTCTAATTCTAGTGTTTCCTAGTGGTAGATTATATCACTGGTGTTGTTTTCAAAAACAATAGACTACTACATCTACTATATATATATATATACTATATATACTAGTCCATTTCAAAACAATAGACAACTACTATATATAATAGTCTATTGTTTTATATATAAACACAATCTTATTTAATATAAACCTTATTATAAGGCTTTACAAGTGACCTGTCCATGTCGTCTTCTGGCTTTCATCTTCTCAAAGGTCACATATCAACACTTGAATAAAGCAATACATACACAGTCATTTTCTATGGAAAATGTAATCTCACTCTTTTGTCAAGGTTTTTTCCCCAAGGCCTTTCTCTATTGTTTTCTTTCTTAACTCATTTACTCTTATTCCCTACCATTCCAACATTTTGCCTCCATTCCAACTGACCTTTCTCTTCACTGATCTATGGGTACCACCTGTTTATTCTGGAGTCAGATCTGCCCACGTGGAATGATGTCCTCATTTTCCTCCAATAATCCCAGTCTCATTCATTCCTCACACACCTGCATGATTGAACATTCTCTAATGTTCTCTCTCACCATTCCCCATCTTTCCCACATGAAGAGACACTACAGAAATTTTCTGAATTACACAGAATTGCTCCTCAGTGTTTGCTAGATAGAAAAATCTCTCTTCACCTGGGGAGAATGGTTCTAACAACCAGTTGGCACCTGAAACTTCAAGGAATAGACCTGTCCACTGTGAATACAGATTTTCATTTGGTTCCTGTTTGAGAATGTGAAACTCAAATGGACTTAAGGTTTCTATGTCTTCAGATTTTAAAGGAAGTGAATTCAATCGATTCAAGTGCAACAAATCCACCATAATCTCAGGAAAGCAAAAACTATACCTTAACCCATGTCAGAGAGAGCTTAATAAGGTCTAAGGGGGACAGGGCCTTTCTTACCTGAAATAAGAAAGATCACGCCCCCAATGACAGCCATCCGCATCTTCTGTGCCTCGTTGTCTTCCAGGCACTTCATACACTTCATGCCGACAATGGCCACAAAGATGGCTACTAGTCCCAGCAGGATGCCAATCACCATCAAGGCGCGGGTTGCTTGCAGAGTGCCTGGCAGAAAACATTTAGAACATGTAAAAATCATGCCTAGACCAACAAGAGAAGAGTGGTAGAAGACCAAGTATATTTCAAGGTTGTATGGAAGACAGAAAATCTAACCAGGAGTCAGGAGACTCTGCTTCTAGGGATGTTTCTGCAGGTAACCAACACAGTTTCTTCTCCAGAAAAACAAATACCTGGCTGAATGATGAATAAGAATTCCTCCAGCTCTAACAGTTTATGTTTTCAACATTAAATTCAAAATCCTCTGAAAAAATAATTAATGATTTGGTTGAATAGGTTTAGCTGAATACGTTTTTAATCCTTACTAATGGAGTTTTAAATTCTGAAATAACAATCATATGTGTTATCCTTAATGTTCAAACATTTATAATTAAAATGGTTTACAATATATCTTGGTAATAGTCAATAGCTTTATACTCCACTCATCAAGCTGCAGAAAATCTGGGTGGGTGAACTTGGAAGACAACTAGTGAATTTCTCATAGATTATCATGGCTGGATAAGCAACACTTGTATCTCCAGTGATGGGGGTGGGGTGGGAGATATGAACACCATTTTCTTAGAACAAAGCATAATAGCCTTTGAGATGTTATTTTGGAACATAGTAGGTTTATATTCAGAGATATCACCAGTTTTTAAAACTATTTAAACTGTTATATTGTAAAATAGATAATTCAATGTAGTATTTCTCAGTACTCCACTAATTTTCTAATTTCCTGTTATTGTCATTGGCACACTAAGTCACGATTAAATCGATAGGGCCAAGTTTGAGATTATGCCAGTAAGTATCTTAAAGAGTAAAAAGGTGATACCATCACTGTGGTGTAAAGACACACAGACTTTCAAAGAAAAAAGAGGTGAAACTACACTGGCTAGATGAGTTTGATTAATTCTATCTTTATTTCCTCCTTCAAATAAAGATCATTATCTCTTTAACAGTGTTAACAGGTGACATGTCTTTTTGCATATATAAATATTTACATTGTAACTAAGCATGCTATCTTGGGTGAGCTACTCATTATTCTTTGGGACCATCTTTTTATTATGTAAAGTGTGAATGGCGGTTATCTCTAAGGAGAAGTTGGAACAATTGACTTCTTGATGGTCTTCAAAAGTGGCTGACACAGGGCTTCCCTGGTGGCGCAGTGGTTGAGAGTCCGCCTGCCGATGCAGGGGACATGGG